TGAGGGCAGGGAAGGGGCTCTCTCGGTTTTTAGGAAGCGGTGTCTGACAGCAAGCTCTGTTCTCTCTGAAGCACTTCCCCTGGCACAGGGACCAAATCTCTGTCTGCAGGGCATTTCAAATGACACCAGAGGGTACCAGCTAAGGTGAGAGCAGCGCTGTGCAGGGAGACTTTCTTCAATCGTCTTTTCTAACAACCTTTTATGCGATGTGGTAGGAATTGGAGCTCGCCAAAAGGTGGCTGTCCTTTGAGTGCAGGATAGGTAGAAATGCCACCATTAGCCATCAGTCAGCACTTTCTTTTCAGTCAGGGAGTCCCCTGGGACCAATGATATTTTAAAAGCATAACAGTGAAAAAGCAGAAGCAAAGCCTGTGGCATTTCTGAGTTGGGAAAGATTTACATATTCTCAAATGAACTCCTGAGACTCCCGATGCTGATGCCCCTCCGAGGGGACAGAACAGCTACAATTAAACATAAAGTTAATCTATTTTAAAACAGAGCTGACCTCCTTCTGCCAAGTGAACAGAATTCACTGCATCCTGCCTTGCCACCCTATGGAAGATGCCACATCCACATGTGCACAGCATTTGTACTGGGAAACACGTTTAAAAAGGAAGGAGAAGCCTTCAGCCTGGAGAAGAGGTTCCAGGGGGACTTTAGAGCAGCCTTCCAGGGCTTAAAAGGAGCCTTAAAGAAGGCTGGAGAGGGACTTTTCACAAGGGCATATAGCAATAGGACAAGGGAGAATGGCCTCAAGCTGAAGGAGGGAAGGTTTAGATAAGATATTAGGAAGAAATTATTTATTATGAGGGGGGGTGAGGTGCTGGCTCAGGTTGTCTAGGGAAGTTGCGGATGTTCCAGCCCTGAAGGTGTTCAAAGCCAATTTGGGAAGGACTCTGAGCCACCTGGTCAAGTGGAACTGTCCATGGCAGGGAGATTAGAACAAATTGAGCTTTAAGATCCCTTCCAACACAAACTCTGTAATTCTTTGAGAATTTCTCTGAATGTTGAAATTCTCTCCCAGCTTGGCATGACCCTGGGATGCAGGCAGACAACAAACTCACACTGATCTCATGCCTTCCCCATGCAAGCAGAGGGGACCTGGCTCCCCTGTCCCTTCCAATCTTCTCCCGAGTCTGGTTCAAGATACCAGTCTTAAAAGAAAAGAAAAAAGAAACTTTCTGCTAAGCTGGAAGATGAAGTAGATCATCCAGGGATCAGACATGTGCAAAGAAGAGGAAGATCACATAGCCAGAGAGGAGCAGGACTGCATCTTTTGGTGGCAATGACCCATTTGTACCCCTCAACTGTGACTCCTGTCAGCATCCGTCCCCCTCCAGGGTGCACAGCATAGGTGCAAGAGCAAACTGGCTCAGAAAAAAACTAACTCACCACAAGAGAGGGAGAGGGATAACATCAGTCATTTATGTCAGATTAATTACCCCCATTAAACAACACTTGGAACTCAGAATCAAGGCAGTGATGTGCAGGAAAGGTGTGAAGGCGTAAGGGTGGCACCTTCTGCTTACCAGAATTAATCTACCACAATTAGTAAAAGCGTCCACTCCAAACTTTGCATGTTTAAATGCAGGAATGTCCAACATGCACACTGAAAAAGTCTCAGTGATCCCAGAAATGCAAAAAAGCTGTTGCAGTCAGAGCAACATGAGGTCACTGGAGCTATCTGGGTTCATTCCGATCTAACTGGAAAAAGGAAATTATGTGGGTGAAAGGAACATTTGACCCATAGCCTTACAAACTTGGCATTTAGACTTTTGACTGTATTTTGTGTGTAAAAATGTAGTTTGTCCAAGTTTAATTTTCTGTGGGTTTTATTTTTCCTAAATGATTCTTTAATTTAAGAAGCACTCAAGAGAAGAAGTAAAACAGTCTCTATAAGCAAAAAGCAGTAGGGTTTAGCTGGGTTTCTGTTTCTCCTCTTACAGCATGTTTCACTGTGGCTAGACTGACAGACAGAAAAAGGAGTTCCTTAGATCCACTGCCTTTGTTTTTGAAGGACTCTTTTTTTCTGCATGTCTGGAACAGGAGACAGAAACTCTTCCAAAAAAAAGAAATTAAAACAACAGCTGAAAGCATGAAGAGGAATAAGTCAGCAACTCAATTTGCATCCAGCGATCAGATGGGCAAATCCGGTATGTAAAGAAAATTTTGTGCCATCTCCGCCGTGAAATCTGCCCCAGCACAACCCATACCAGAGCTGGCACGGAAGTTAGACACCAAGCACCTAAAATTGTCAGACACTTCAATATTTAGGGCTGGCCACAAAACAGGGATTCTTTCTCAGCCCTCATTGTCCCTTTCTGAAACCCAGCTCCACTCCGAGCTCTTCACTGGGAGTAACACAAAGGAAGGGGATTCCTGGAATGTGTTATTTGTGAGCCAGTGCTCTCTCACAGAAGTGTATATTGACCCTCCCTTCCCAACCCTCCAGTAACTTAGAAAAGCTGTAGGGAATTTTCTTCCAAACTTCTCAAAAAATTTCACCCCTGGGAAGAAACCAAGAGCTAAGTGGTCCCCAGCTATAAGAAAATACTCCAGGGAAGTTTAAAAATACTCCATGGGCATAAAGCTGGGGTTGCTGTGTCACTGAAGTCAGTGCCTATGCTTTGTTTGCACACAGGGCAGGGAAAGGTCATACCGAGGGACTTCAAGCTATATTTTTCTAGGATAAACTGGGGACTGAGAACATCTTACAGTTTGTAAGTAGCTGTGAAGGTGCAATGGCTTGATGAAACTAAGCCTGTGGGGATACCAGCAGTGCATTCAGATCATAAAAAAAAAAAGTTTGTGCTGTAACCAAGCTGTTTTGCCACTTTGTGCTGAGACAACAGGGTGTTGTTCATGGACATCAGTGTCTCCAGCAGCAGGTGACATCCCAGACACAGCTCTAAATTACACTGGCATTTCAGGGGGGCACCTCAGGTGAACGTCAGAATAGCAAAATTCAATTCAAAGGAAAAGAAATGGATCTACATAGCTTGCACATACACGAAATTCCTATGAAAGACAACCATCAAATCAACCTTCAACCGTTCCTATGAAAGACAACCCTCAAATCCCTTCTAGTTAAGCCCCCCATTAATGCCTTCCCCTGCTACAATGTGAAAATTCAGCCTGGCATTCCCTCTGTTACTTTTTCACTCACATGGGTTTTACAGAGGGCACCTGTTTCCATCCTAGAATGCTACCTGACCTTTTGCAGTGCTACATCAGGGAGGTGTGCCAGCATCAGGACACCTGGGCCAAACCAAGGACACGGGCTCTGGGAGCCAGCCCTGACTGTGCCTTGATGTGGCCACGAGCAGCCCCATGAGGGGTCAGTCCTGGAAATGCTGGCTGTGGTGACTCACTCGGTATTGCATGGGAAGTCACTGCCAGGGTGGTGGCAGACACCCAGGGCTCCACTATTTTGCCACAACAAGGTCAGAACCCAGTCCTTGTGGTCCCTGTGGGCAACGCTGAGAAGGCATCACCCACAAGCACCAGGAAAGCTTTTCAAGCCCAGTCCTTTGTGGGTACTGTACCACGTATTTTCATGGAGCAATTGAATGCAGGAATGCTGATCTTCAGAGAGAAAGGGTTCAGAGTGTGTGTGTGTGCATGCAGAGAGAGAAGTAAGTGCATCAGCTGTCCTGTTCTTATCATCTGCCAAGCCCCTGCTCCTGAAGCACTGTGACTTCCATTGACTTGTTGCTAGAGAAGCATCTAAAAATTGTGTCTCAAAAGTACAACTAGATAAACACTTAATTTTCTATTATCAAACTTGTATTTCTAGCAGTGGATATTAGCATGCATCAAACTATACATCCAAGTATACATCCTTTAGCCAAGGAACCAGAATAATTTTCAGAGAAATTACATGAGTGGAGAATTACCATATGCTCATAATTACATTATTAACATACCACAAGCTCTTAAACCACTGAGAGAGAAACAGTTCTGCTCATGATAGATTGTTTGCCTGATGCAAATACAAGCAAAGTATATTTGTGCTTGATAAATGGTTTGCAAACACAGAGACAGGGGAAAGAGTGAGGGGAAGACAGAAGAGCAGAGATCCCAGAGAGGCATTTGAGATTGTTGCTTTCTTTACAAGTGAGTTCTGCAATTCATTCCCTGCTAAATTCTCCAAGTTTTATCTTAAAATTCTGAGACTGAAACTCAAAATGAAACCTGGCATCAAATATCTCCCGGTTTCACAACAGCAGCATGAAAAGTTCCTAATTTTGCATTGCTTGATTTTTAAGGAAAACCTCAGTGCAGCCCAGGTTTGCTCTAGAGTATTGTTAGCTGCAGTGAAACACTAAAATTTACAATAAGCACAACTTATCTTGCAGCCACAACAAACTCCAGCTCAGAAGTGAATTTTGTGTGGTTTCCAGGTTAACATTTCACACATCTGAGAAGACCCATCCCAAGCCTGTTGAGGTGAGGAGCGATCTGTGTGAGCTTTGTGGCAAGTCCTCAGAAAAGGACAGGGAACTACTCAGGCAGGATTTCAACGGGGATTTGTGTTATTGGAGAAAGAACTCACTCTGCTCTGTGCTGAGCTGCCCAGGAGGTGCAGAGCACTCAGAGCTGCCATCTTTCCCTGTCATCTCCACCACACACCCACTTTCAACCACCCAAAAAGCTGCAGAAACCACCCCACCGCCGAGGCCGAAGCCCAAGGGGTTGCGCCATGTGCTCCCCACAGACATCAGCTGACCAAAACCACCCTCATTTCTCTCACCCTGGCTGCGATGGGAGCTCACCCTGCCTCTCTGGGAGCCAGCAGCCTGCTGCAATGGGCCTGGGAAGCTGAGAGCTGGGGGCTCTTCACTGAAGTGCCAGCACCCCAAACCCTGGCCTGGGCTCAGCCCTGGCAGAAGGCACCAGGACTGTCCTGAGGAGGGCCACCATCCCCTGGTGACCATCACAGGGTTCGCTGCTGCTGGTGCCCAGCCCCTTCCCACACTCCCATTCTGGTTCCTGCTTACCCATCCCAAGGCAGAGCAGCACGAAGAGCCCGAGCCCCAGCCACGTCCTCGACGCCAGCGCCGGTGGGGAGACAGGCAGGCACATCATCTTCCTGTAGCTCCTGGGCTGGGAGGAGAGGGCAGAATGGTTATGGCAGCGGAGCCTGAGGAGTCACAGCACCCTGCACTGCGTCCCTCTCCTTCCTGCCTGCTGCCAGCACCACAAGCCCCGAGCACAAGCCCAGCCTGCCCCACTTCCCTGCCCTGGTACCTGTCGTTTCCCTGGTCCAGCAGCACCGAGGCCACCCCTGAGGCCGGGAGGAGGCAAGGGGTTCAGTGCCAGGCCATGGGGGCCTGGCTGCTGTCACAGGCTGCCAGAACCCTCTCTGACAAGCTGCAGGGGGAAGTCTCGGTGCCGGGAGGCTGCTCGGCCTCATAAGTCACCTCACACCGCCCACGGCTTCCTCGCGGGGCGTGCGCCAGGATGCAGCCGCCCCCGGCACCCCGATTGCCTTCATCCCTCAGGGGTGCTCCGGGTGTTCCTCCAGCCTGGAGGGTGTCAGGCCAAAGAACCCTGCCTGTGAATGTGTCAGGCAGTGCTGGGGGCTTCGGAGGTTCAAATGCAGCTGAGTGAAACCCTGACGCTGCTTTGGGAATAGCTGTATAAAGTTAGGTTTGAAATGAAAGAAAATGCCCGCACCACCATTTCAGGCCCGGCAGGATGCAATCCACCAAGAAATGGATTTTCCAAAGAAAATGTAAGAAGGATTGCTTAGGCTGCACGCGATGGATGTCATGGCAGAGCACCTGGACAGGGAGTAGGATGTGACAGCAGGGCCGAATGTGGATGGCTGTGGTGTCACCAGAGAACATCCACCAGCAAGGTGGAAGTGCAAGGAGCACTTGCTCCCCAGCACTGTGTCCTGCCTTCCCCAGAAGGCAGCCAGTGCTCACCCAGCTCTGGATGGGGCAGGGGAGAGGCATGGACCATCCCTGCTTTAAAGCCTGGAAGGGCAGATCCATCAACAGCACAAGTGGCCAAACAAAGCCAGGGCCAAACGCAGCCAGTCCAGAGCAAATCCTGGGCAGAAAAACAAACCACTTAGGAAATAAGAGCCCGAGAGAGTAAATGCATGCTAAGTGATGTAGATTTGTACAGATACTGCACACCCTCCTGCAAAATAAAATAAACCCTGGTACAGTGTAAGAAGTTACAGTGTAAGGGGTTTTATTTAGCTGTAATAATCACAGCAAGAGGGCTGCATACCAATAAAACCTGATATTCTTCAAGGAGGAAAAAAAGTGCAAATACAAATCAAGAGTAAAATAATTTATTTAAATGCAGATTTCTGGTTTGCTGGTTTAAATTATTTTGATTTAAATGAAATGCATCCTTTCTATCAGAAATGATTTGCTGCTACATTGCTCCAGTTTTTCTTCAGTACAGGTCCCTTGAATTAGATAGATTAGATGGACTGGGTTGAATTACAAATCAGAATTTTATTTTGACATAATTAAAACGATGGTATTCTGTAGGGAAATCAAATGCAGGTTATAACATTTCTGTAGAGAGAAAATCATTGTATATGAAATGGCTGAGAGGAGTCTGTTATTGAGTCAGACTAGCACTTTCTACATTGCAGGGTTTTGAGCGCCTGTGTTTTGTGTTTTGGGCTGTGATCTAAATCCTGTACATTTGTACTCCATCCTTGCATTTTCTACCAGCATGGTTTGCAAATGCAGATGACAGTAGCACCACGGGTTTACGTAGAAGTGTTTCCATGGTGCTCAGAGAAGAAGAAAGTATCACTAATACAGCCAGCCATACACTAGGCTTCCCTAAGTCACAGCCCCAGCTCTCAGGCAGGGACAGCCTCTCTGTGAGTCAGATGGAGTAAACTTTCTCCTGCTAGTCTAATCATGAATCCTTACCATTACAGAGTTACTGGCAACCCTGTTACAGCTGTACAGTTCATCACCTCACTTTCATTTCAAATTCAAGCATTTTAAAAATACGTATTTCTGCCATTAGCATATCACAACAAGAAGGAAACTCCAGCTTGTTACGTTTGCATCTGTATCTCTTCCTCAGGACTTAACCTGCTTTTGGATGAGCAGTCCCAGGGAGAGTAACAGAGCTCATCAGCTGCCAGACTGTAGTAAAGGAAGTACCACAACCCCATATTACACACAGAAGAACATGCACCAGCTAAGGCTGCCTAAATTTTAGATAGAGAGCTGAACTTAAGGGTGTTATTCTCACTCAGGGCTCCTTCTCTTTTCCTAGGCATTGCAGTTCTTGGTACCTTCTCCTCTGGAGATCTCCCTGACTGCAAGGAGACTGAAGTAACAGAGAGAGAGGAGCAGCCAAGTGCTTTGTTCGGCTTTGATCAGAGGCAGAAGTCATAATTTTTCCATCACCTAAAGCTTCCCTAAGCATGTATCATATCCTTGATTCATGGAATCCATCAGTTCAAGGGAAGAGGTGTTATGCATCTTTAGGATGTTAACAAAGTTGAAGGACTCCTATATATTGAAGTCACAGTACAGAAGACATTGCTTTTTTGAGCACTGCAGAGAATAGTATAAGCCCACCAATTCACATCAAAATCCCCATAGAAATAAGGTTTCTTGTGCACTTGATTAGGCCTTCATCATTTCACTTCTGTGTGCTCCAGAAACAGCTTTAAATAGGTAGGAGTATTGCAAAGAGAAGCTAAGATTTAATAAGAAAGGATGGTTAAATTCTGCTAAAAACATTTACTGCAGAAAAGAGGAAGATGTGAGAGCATCACACAACTACATTTTTCCATTGCTTACCCAGAAAACCATTAGGGAAAAGGCAGAAAAGACAAGTGAAATTTTGCAGCATATGTGCTGTGTAGAGGAAATTAATTTTGGTAATCAGCACTTGTGGTAGAAATCCTTTGCGCGCAAAGGGAAGTCTTTTCAAATACATTGCTGCTAGCGTTCTCCTGCAGACCCACTGACATCACCAACTTTTTCCACCTCTGCAGAAATGCACTTCCAGTGTGTTTGAACAGTTATTGATTGTCAAGAACATACAAAGAAGCCACAACCTCCCTCTCTTTCTCAATCGACATCTCAGAGGGCTATCAGAAAGGTCAGGACTGGGTAAACACTAAACCAAAACACAGCACCTACTCTCCCACTGAGGATTCATAACCTCATTCCCTCCTACAGGACTGGGACACCTTTCACTGTTTTCAAGGTGAACAGCCATTCCAATCTTTGTTAATCTGAACTAAAAGCACATCTGTGTACTTTTAGTACCAGAACATCCAGGTTGAATGGGAAGTACCCAAGATATGTTTCCAGAGATGTACATCACCAAAATATGGTTGTGCAAATGCCCTAAAAGCATCTTTGTCAGAGAAATGATCCCATTTCAAGGCAGAATAACATTTTTAGTGATATTTTTTTTCATAAAATCATAGAATTAGGTTAGAAAAGACCTTTAAGATCAATTAGGCCAACTGTTAACCCAGCACTGCTGGGTTAGTCCATGACTAAACCATGTCCTTAAGCACCATGTCTACATGTCTTTTAAATAACTCCAGGGATGGAGACTCATACCCTGGGCAGCCTGTTCCAGGGCTGGATAACACTTTTGGTGAAGATTTTTAAATTATATTCACTCTAAACCTCCCATGGCATCACTTGAGGCCATTTCCTCTTGTCCTGCCAGCGTTTGATGGTTCCAATACCAGCACCAATAAAATGCAGAGCACGTGGAGTAATGAATTGAATTCAGCTGGTAATGCTCATCTGTTTCTCAGTGGAATTATATGACAGGTTTTGGTGTTTTTTTCTTTTCCTGTAAGAGAAGGGCAGAAAGCAGCCTTATCAAAGTGGTCCCAGCATCCTGAGAAGTGAGGCCTTTCATACAAAGACTGATGGTCTCCTATGCAATACAAATAACAAAATAAAATAATTTTGTGAAGTAAGAAGAAAATCCAGTGGTTTCAGGTTACAGAAAATCCCTTTTATCTTACAAAGGAAAATAACAATAACAAAATTTCTACAGCTCCAGAGACTTTTTGTTCTTGTTTTTCCCTTCAGCTGTCCCCAACCTTCAGATTCTAAAACTGGCAAGATTTGAAGAAGTGAAGTCTTCATCTTGGCACAGATTGGAGCACAAGCATCATCTTGTTTGCAGAAATAAAAAATAAAAAAGAGAGAGGGAGGGAGGGAGGGAGGAAGGAAGTGGCGGAAGGAAGTGGCGGAAGGAAGTGGCGGAAGGAAGGAAGGAAGTGGCGGAAGGAAGGAAGTGGCGGAAGGAAGTGGCGGAAGGAAG